AGTGGGGTACAAATATAATTTATTATTATTATTATTATTATTATTATTATTATTACTATTATTTCCAAGGGACATCTAATCCAAAACCCTGTGTGTGTCCAAGTGCCATCAAGTCATCTGTCAACTTGCAGCAATCTCATGCATTTATACCAGTGGTTCTCAACCTAGGGTCCCCAGATGTTTTTGGCCTTCAACTCCCAGAAATCCTAACAACTGGTAAACTGGCTGGGATTTCTGGGAGTTGTAGGCCAAAAATATCTGGGGACCCCAGGTTGAGAACCACTGATTTATAGGGTTCTCTTAGACAAGGAATTTTCAGAGGTGCCAGTTCCTTCCTCTAAAATATCGGCAATATCATCCAGTATTTGTTTGTGGTTTCCCATCCAGAACTAACCAGGGCTGACTTTGCTTAGTTTCTAAGATCAGATAAAATCTGGTACTTTAGGTGTTGGAAAAAAAATGTTTTTTGCATTTTTGAAAAAATTGTGAAGATTTTACAATTTTGCAAAAGTATCCCTAAATTGATTCTAAATGCCCACTAGAGTCACATGTTTCTGTCACACATTGATCTTACAATGCCTAAATCCTTTGTATGGATGCTGCTGCTTGTTCAATACTTAGGTATTGCAATTTGTTTTGTATTGTGCTGGAGGCTTTACAATTACCTCTGTTGAATTTTCTCCTGCTAGTTTCAGCCCAGCCTTCCACTTTATTGAAATCTGAATCCTCATTCTCTCTGTAGTCCATGATTAAATTTAGACGTATCTTTCATGGTATTAGCTATTTCTCCCACCTTCATGTTGCCTGCAAATTTGATAAGCACCTGCTTTGTTCCTTTGTCCATGTCATTTATTGAAATGTTGAAAAGCACAGGACCCAGATGGAAGCCCTGTGGCACTCTGCTTGATATCTCCTTCCAAGTCAAAATTGAACCATTTAATGACTACTCAGCCAGCTGTGGATTTAAAAAAAAACACGGTAGTAACATCCAAATTTGCCATCTTATCTACAAAGATGCATGTTGTCTATGGGAACTTTTTCACAAATTGAAATATACAGCACTATCTGTGACATCACCATAATCAACTAAACTCTCAAAATGAAAATATGGTTGGTTTGGATGAACTACTTTGATAAATTTATGCCAATTTTCAGTAATAGATATATTCTTTTGTAGACTATTCCAAGCCAGCTACTTAAGTTGATTTAGAAATTTGCCATTAAGACTAATGGCTCTGTAATTTTGAGGAACTGCTTTCTTCACTTTGGAAAATAAGAACATTTGTCCATTTCCAATCTTTAGGAAGATTGCTGTTCTCTAAGCATTTTGAAAAGATTTTAGACAATGACCTTTTAGCAACTAGGATGGTTTAAAACTCATTTGTCCTAGAAATATACAATCATCTAAACCAGCTAAGCCTTCTCTAACCATCTCTTCAGTTATTCCTAGGAAGGATAGTCCCTTCTAAAAATGCTTGTTTTCCTTACCTTATTTATTACTTATTCCCTTGCACATGACAACCAAGATTGAAAAGAAGTAACTGTTAATCACCTATTAATAATCAATCATCCCTGTGGTGGGGTAGTGCAAATAATAATAATAATAATAATAATAATAATAATAATAATAATGCTTTATTTATACCCCACCACCATCTCCCCAAGGGGACTTACATGAGGCCAAGCCCAACAACACATCAGTAAACAACAAAGCAGCAAGCAAATAAAACAGTACAATTAATATAACTCACATATAAGCAATAACACACAAAATTTAAAACCTTATGGCCAGGACAGATGTAATAGATTAAAAATTTTAAGTAAACACTGGGCGTGGGATGTAGGATGTATCTAAACAGGAGGGTTTTAAAAGATATATATATGTCTTTCTTATGCTTCCTATTGTTCCAGTTAAGGACAATGAGTTCTTCTGTTTTGCTCAGAATTCTACAGAAATCTTTCTTACAAGTTGCAGCTATTTTGTTGTTGCCATTTTTTATTATCTCTTTGATGTCTCTTCTTCTTTCTCCTTGCGACATTCCTTTTAAATAATCAGCTCTTCAGAGATCCCTCTCCAGCCACACTAGCCTCCTTAGATGTTTTCCATTTTTGTTTCTTACTGGAATATTTTTCAATTGTGTCATGATTATTTCAGTTTTCCAAATCTCTCATCCTTCTTGAATCCTTTTCTTCTTTTTGGTACCCATCTGAACATTTCTCTGAGCTCTTTCAAATCAAGTTTCCTGAAATCCAGAATTTACAACCAAATATATTAAAAAATATGGGACATGGCAAGTTTTCCCTAAGTTCCCCATCATGAACCAATTTTTGCCTGTTGGTCATGTTTAAGTCTATAACAGCAGATAACCTTATTTCTTCTTCCAGCATGTGCATGATGCAGTTGTCAACAAGACTAGTCAAAAATGTATCAGCCATTCCATTTCTTGCAGAGACAAACTTCTAGCAGGTGCCAGGATAACCATAAACAATTCACAAAATGCACATGTGAAGATTTAATTGTCAGCTTCAGGAAAGAGCTGAAAATTTTACTTCCATTTTCTTCTATTTCTCACTCAGAGCTGCATACTCTTTGGTGCTCCATTCAAGATTTTTCTCAGCTGCCTGCATCATTAGTTCTTATACAGGTTAGAGAGAGCACCTGATAGTCAGTGGATTTAATGCATTGTACTATCTGAGCATCTTCCCTGCCTTGAATAGTATTTGTCTTCTAGTTCAGGATCCCCTCTATGGAAAAAACAGAATATTAAAGCAGAATGGCTAAGCAAAGAGAATTATCAACCCATTGACCCAAATAAGCTACAAACTTAGTGCAAACTTTTTGCTTCTTTTGTCTTGTAGAAAAATGCTGTGGAAGATTTCTCTGTGTTCTCAGCTTTTCCAGGCCAGTTTTCCAAGGGAACTGTCCAGATGCTTGTCTACACTTTGATACCAAGCACCTAGTTAGCATGTGCTATCTTTTAATTGAGAATAGACCTCTCTTTTCAGAACCAACATGACAGGAACAGTGGCTGTAGCAACCCCAGGAGAAGGAGGTGGCAAACATGGATGAGAAACCTCATACATCATATTGCCAGCTATTCTTTATAGTATTAAAACTCATTTACCATTTTCTTCCCAATAACCTAGTTTGTAAATTCCTTTTCATAGTCTTCTTGAGTTTTTATCATCCTGAGCAGTCAAGAGATGTATACAAATGTAGCTGTATCTCATTGCTTGCATCCTTTAAAATATGATTGTCATTTCTGTATCTTCAGAAGACTGTTTCTATGTGTACAAGTTTGTAAATAAAAAGAAAAATGCATATCTGAAATCTTCTGAGACAGTCTGACAAGAACCTGTTAGTTTCTAGAATCCTGATAGCAGTTGAGTCTAGAGAAGGAGGGAGAAACCATAAAAAGGAAGCAACATTCAGATACAATATAGGAGTTTTTCATTTAAGTCCAATATGTTTATATGCCAGTTGACAGTATGTCTCTCTCTGTAGTAAAGGTAAAGGTTTTCCCCTGACATTAAGTCCAGTTGTGTCTGACCCTGGGAGTTGGCGCTCATCTCCATTTCTAAGATGAAGAGCCAGCGTTGTCCATATACACCTCCAAGGTCATGTGGTCAGCATTACTGCATGGAACACCATTACCTTCCCCCCTATTGATCTACTCACATGTGCATGTTTTAGAACTGCTAGGTTGGCAGAAGCTGGGGCTGACAGCGGAAGCTCATGCCACTTCCCAGATTTGAATCTGTGACCTTTTGGTCAACAAGTTCTTAGCAGTTCAGTGGTTTAACCCACTGTGCCACCGGGGGGCGTACATATTATAAATAATAAAAAGAAAATGAGAAGGAATTCATTCATGCCCCTGACAATTTATAGTATTCGTCCCCCGCCCCCCTGCCCCCAATTTCCTAGTATTCTTCAAGTATATTTCAGAAGGATACAGGGTTGTGGGTATACTATAAAGGGTTGGGGTGGTGGTTAGGTATATTGCACTACACGTGAGAGATATTGACTAGAATGTTTCACAGAACAACTGAAATAGTCAAAGGTCTAAAAACCAAGGCTTATGAGGAATAACTTAAGGACTGGGTATGTTTGGAGATGAGAAGACTGAGAATTAATATGATAGCCATCCTTAAATTTATAAAGTAACATCATGTAGAAGGTGGACTGATCTTGCTGTTTGCTACTCTGGAGACTAGACCATGAAACAAAGGATTCAGATGACAAGAAAATTGTTTCAATGCAAACATTTGAAATCATTGTTTGGCAGTGGAATGGATTGCCTTGGAAGATGGTGGACTCTCTGTCTTTGAAACAAGAACTGAATGGACATTATCAGGATTGCTTTAGTTGTGTATTCCTGCACTACAGTGAGTTGGTTTTGTGGATCTTGTCCTCTTTTCCTACTCCAGGATTCTGAAATTTTGTTGTTACTCTTGCATTGTTTAGGAATATTTAATTATCTTTGTCCTGTTGTAAACAGTGACAATTTGTGGCTTCCTTGTCATAGGGACAGTAAATGCACTTTGGGTTTATTGTCAAATTTGTGCCTAACCTATTTTTGACAGTAGTTTGGGCCATTTTTTTAAAAAGTTAGTATTAAAACACAGAGCGCATTTACTATCCTACTGACATGGAAACCTTTGAACTGCCACTGATTTCAAAGTCCTGAAATAACCTACTGGACAAACTGATATTTTCTCCTTAAGTATGTCTTCCTGCTCTTCAAACAGCTCTCACATAATAGCAATAGGAGGATTTGTTCTGATATGTTTATATGTACATTTTTGTGACCAACTTTGTCATGAAGCTTTTTTGACAGCCAAGATTTGTGAATCATTCCAAATCTGCTTTGACATTTGAAGAGAAATGTGCCATGATTCCTCTTGAAGGAATTTTGATTCTGCTTCAAGAAGGCCTTCTAGATACATAATTCTGTATGCTATATGTGATCTTAGTCCTGCTGTTTTATGTTTTTTTCCAGTTACAGGGATGCTGAAAAGAACTTCCACAATATCTCTGACCGATGCTCCTACACAGACCACTCTGGCAATGACGAAACTGAAGATGTCTCAGGAATTCTCCAGTGTACAGCAAACATACTCGGTACCGTGTATATTCATGCCATTTACTCTTATTTACCTGCAGACATTTTATAAGTTTCCCTTCATGAGGTTCCATTCCACAGTTTGTAGTTCAAAATTAGCACCATCATTGTGAAATAGCATCTCATGTATGTAAGAATACCCTGTTGGATCAGCTGAAAATTTCATTCTATACAAACATTGTGTATCTTTCAGTAGGTGAATCCGGGAAACAGCATGTGATGATAGTAACCCCCCCCCCCCCCCGGTGTCATTCTCATTGCATCTAGTTAAAGTGTTGGTTTGGACAGAATATTTGACTCTACAGATAAAATCCAGTTAGTATGCAAAAAGGCCTGTTCCACAGCAAGCAAAATCAGTTGCCAAAGGCATTTTTGAATAAAATGCTTTTGATGGCATTTGAAAGACAACAGAGAGCAGTACCTTTCCCCAAGATGAGAAGAGGATGGAAGTGGACTCTCAGAAAACCATCTCTTAGACATGCCTCAGAATCACAGAATCATAAAGTTGGAAGAGATCTCATGTGCCAACCAGTCCACCCCCTGGCCAAGAAGCAGGGAAATCACATTCAAAGCACCCCCAGCAGATGGCCATTCAGCCTCCAAAGAAAGAACCTCTGCCACACTCTGGGGCAGAGAGTTCCACTGTTGATCAGCTCCCAAAGTGAGGAAGTTCTTCCTAATGTTCAGGTGGAATCTCCTTTCCTGTAGTTTGAAGCCATTGTTCTGCATCCTCATCTCTATGGCAGCAGAAAACAAGCTTGCTCCCTCCTCCCTATGACTTCCCCTCACATATTTATACATGGCCCTCATCATGTCTCTTCTCAGCCTTCCCCTCTGCAGGCTAAACATGCTCAGCTCTTTAAACCACTCCTCATAGGGCTTGGTCTCTAGACCTTTGATAATTTGAGTCACCCTCTTCTAGACACATTCCAGCTTGTCAACATCTCCCTTCAACTGTTGTGCCTAGAATTGGACACAGTATTCCAGGTGTCATCTGACCAAGGCAGAATAGAGGGGTAGCCAGACTTCCCTGGCTCTAGTCACTATTCTTCTATTTATGCAGGCCAAAATCCCATTGGTTTTTTTGCCACCACGTTTAACTTGTTGTCCATGAGGACTCCAAGATCTTTTTCACATGTACTGCTATTGAGCCAGGCATCCCTGGCTCAGTAGCAGAAGGTGGAAGGAGTATAAGAAATGTCCCGATGAATACCTCAAAGTTCATGCAAGCATGTACAGGTGATAATGAATTTTCTCATTCCCCATCTAGAAGCAAACTTCCATTTTTTTTTTCAAAACTCTTAACTTTACTTGTACATGCACTAGGATGATTCTCCAGAGTCTTCCATGGCAGAAGGAGAAAGTATAAAAATTGTTTGACTCAGTTGAAGGTGTGACATCTGTTCCAGTGTCTGCGTACACAAGAGCAAATAGGAGCAAATCCCAGTAGACTACATATTCCCTCCTCTCCAATTTCTCTAGGGGCGAGAAAATTCTGGTGGACTGTTCAGTGAATGCTTTCTAGGAATGTGCAAGCAAGTAGAACAAGTTTGCATTTTGCTTTGTAGTTCTCACACTTTATAGTGTGCCGAAAGCTGTGTGACGAGATTGTCACTGTTTGCAAACCTCATGGGAGACCCTTGGCCTTCTGTATGCACATTTTTAGCAAGTGAATTTATAACCCAATAAGCAGGGTTGTGCTTCCCTTTCTTTCTGAGTCCCATTGCAATGGAAACAAGAGCTCTCTGTAAGGAACATAACATTTTTGTGGCTTGGCAACTGGCATTTACGCTTATATAGGTCATATTTGGCTGATTTGCTAGAACGAGGACTACCATGATGTTCATTGGACAAGATTAACTGGAGTGTGTGATCCATTAACTGTTAAAAAGTGAAGATCCACAATCACAAAATTATCAGTATCAGGCCAGTATCACACTAGAGCCGAAAGAGTAGGCAAAGAGTACACATCCCATCTGAAATCCTTTGCTGTCTCCTGCAGAATTCTGTGTAGTTTAATGAGCATCACTAAACTACAAGCATGGATTCACATCTCTCTTGGCATTGAAGTTATCAGTCTCTACTAATCATTTCAATAGGAAATGCTTCCAGAGCTCAGAATTTCAATTGGAATTATTTCTGGCCTCAGAATTTCTGTAGCTCTCTTTCTGTCACTTGCATAGTGAGCCCAGCTAAGTTGTAGCATCCAAATCAGAATTTCTGGAGAAGAAAGAAAAAGAAATAGATCTCAAAAATAAATATATTGTCGAAGGCTTTCATGGGTGGAATCACTGGGTTGTTGTAAGTTTTTTGGGTTGTATGGCCATGTTCCAGAAGCATTCTCTCCTGACGTTTTGTCTGCATCTATCGCAGGCATCCTCAGGAGTTGTGAGGTCTGTTGGAAACTAGGTAAATTGGGTTTATATATATATAGAATGTCCAGGGTAGGAGAAAGAACTCTTGTTTGTTGGGAGTAGGTGTGAATTTTTCAATTGGCCATTCACACCTACCTCCAACAAAAAAGAGTTCTTTCTCCCACCCTGGACTTTCCACAGATATGTAAACCCAAATGTATTAGTTTCCAACAGACCTCACAACCCCTGAGGATGTCTGCCATAGATGCAGGTGAAACATCAGGAGAGAAGGCTTCTGGAACATGGCCATACAGCCCAAAAAAATTACAACAAACCAAATATACAATAGTCACTATTAATAAAAGCAAGAGTCTCACTTTGTCCATTATAGATGCAATGATGGTTCCCTTCATGATGTGCAAATTAGGAGACAGTTTCATGGAAGTATTCTCCCTACCCTTCTCTAGCAACCTTCCCAACATTTAACTGAGTTTTGTAGTAAATTAGAGACTCTAGTCATGGCTGCAAACCGAACTCCAAATTCTAGGAACAACTTAAGTCAAATATTTATTGTATATGACTAACAGTTGTTATAAACAAAATCTGGGTGAGAAACATCATATCATAACAAAACATAGGTCAAATTAACATATCTACGTGATTTACTATGAAAACATTCAGAGAGACTGCTGAAATATGTTTTACAGCCTCCACAAACAGGTCTGTTTGCTTTGTAACATGGGGATCACACTCTGATTGATGCCAAGAATTCTTGAAATACTTCATAAAGGTGGAATATCCCCTACACTACACCAAATGCTTGGGATTAGAAGTATTCCATATTATGCTTTTTATTTTTGAATATTTGAATACATAATGAAATACCTTGGTGATAGGGCCCCTACAAAAACCTGGCCTTCATCAAAGGGCTTCCCAGGGGAAAACCTTGATGAAGGATGTAATCTTCCCAGAGGAATACCCTCAATGAAGGGGCAGATTTTTGTCGAGTAATCCTGTAAACAACTAGCTGTAATATACATCCACTTGATCTGAATTTTCTTTGGAAAACTGCCTTCAGAATGTTTTTGTCTCTTGGCAAATGGAAGCAGTATTTTTGCCTGCTACCCCATATATTTCTCCTTTATTCCATTTGTAGCCAATTTTGCTCTCAAATCTGAGATTCAAGATGGCTCACAATAAGATTGAAGAAAAAAACATATAAACTACATTGTCATTTTAAAACCACATAAACAAATTGTAATATTAACAGAGAATTGAATTTAAATCAATTTGAAAGCAGCTCGACAAAAAGACACAGAATCTGTGCATTAAAAACCCTTTACATAACAAACATTCAGTATCACCCACTCACACACATACACACTTGCATAAAAAATTGTTTTGCCTATCTGAAGAAAGTGGTTCAAAAGGTGGATATTTGACGTCTCTTGGAAAGGGAGCTCCAAACCTGTTGTTTCCTCCTCTGGTATGAATATTTTATTTATTGAAACCCTGGCAAATTCAGAGGACTATGAGCCATCTAGATTATATAATGATTCTTGTAGCCCTATGGGGATTCTAATGATATCATAAGGCTGCTGAATATTTATATTATACAAAGTGCCTAATTCATGCCCTTAGGAAAGAAATATTCCAGTAAAAACGAAGGACATCGTTTTTTACAATACTTCCTTAAAAATAGCTAAAGCAAATCTCCATTCCCTTTAATTTGGAAAAAAATTGCTAGAGAAAAATGCTTGGGTTGTGCATACTTCTTTCCACCTTAATACAGGTTGAGTATCCCTTATTCGGAATTCCTAAATACTCTAAAATGCAACATTATCCACATTTTGGTAAGGCAGTGGAACTTTGGCTTTCTGGTAGTTCAGTGTATACAAACATTGTTTCATACACACAATTATTGAAAATGCTGAGTATAAAATTACCTTCAGGCTATGTGTATATGGAATACAGATGTATTTTGCCTCTAGATGCAGGCTCCATCTCCAAGATATCCCATTATGTATATGCAAATATTCAAAAATCTGAACTACAGGGTGAGGCAGCATAACTTCCTTTTTTTCAAAACTTAATAAAACCCATTGTATGAATCAGAATTTTTTTATACTGTAGGCACATACCTAAAGTTTTGTGTTACATAGTTTTGAAGATCAAATTAGGTAAGTGACGTCCCCCATTCTCCATTCTCCATACACTGAGTAAACCGATTTCTGGCATTTGTCATGACTCTTGCCAGCATAGCAATTTCTTCCTGGATGTTGGTCTTCAAATCTTGTAGGGTCCTTGGACAGTTCACATAAACAAAAAAAAACCCATAGAAAAAAATCGCAAGGGGCCAAATCTGGAGAGTGGGCCAGCCACTCCAAATCCGTTCAAGTAGGCCTCAATGGCAAAAGCACACTCCTCACTGTTCCAACGCATGATGCCGACTGAACTGTGTCAGGACAAAACTTTATACTCCTGCCTCTCGAACGAGACCACTAGTGCTCCGCTACATTTTCAACCGACTGAATGGCACGCATTTTTAAAAAAGAAAGTTATGCTGCCTCGCCCTGTATGTAACAGTTCTGATCCCAAGTATTTCAGATAAAGGATGCACCTATTAACAACTTAGAATCATAGAATCATAAAGATGGGAGAGACCCCAAGGGCTATCCAGTTCAACTTCCTGTCATGAAGGAAACCATAATCGAAGCACTCCTAACAGATGGCCATCCAGCCTCTTCTTAAAAACCTGCATAGAAGGAAACTCCACCACACTCCAAGGCAACATATACCACTGCTGAAGAGCTCTTACCATCAGGAAGTTCTTACTAATGTTTAGGGGTAATCTTTTTTCCCTGCAATTTGAATTTATTGTTCCATGTCTCCAGAGTAGCAGAAAACAAATTTGTCCCCTCTTCAATGTGACATCCTTTCAACTATTTAAACATGGCTATGTGTCCCCTCTAAGCCATCCCACGTAGGGTTTAGTTTCTACTTTATTTGCCTAATGGTAGGGCCAGCTCTTCGTTTCTGAAGCCAAAGGTTATACAGTTCCTCTCTTTCTTCTAGTTTAATCCTGATCCATATGCTGCCATATCCTGCATCCCTTTGTAAAATCTAAAAGTCAATTATGTTTGATAGCCACCAGATAAGAGTGGATAACAAATCTCCATAGAGATAGGTCTTTTGTAAACACTTCCCAGCTTTCCTTGCCCCATTAGAGAAAAGGCTGCCTTGATCATTGGAAAATGTCAAAGGTATTGTAACAAATATTTTTAGTGGTACAGTAGAGTCTCGCTTATGCAACATAAATGGACCGGCAGAACATTGGATAAACAAAAATGTTGGCTAATAAGGAGGGATTAAGGAAAAGCTTATTAAACATCAAATTACATTATGATTTTACAAATTAAGCACCAAAACATCATGTTTTACAACCAATCAACAGAAAAAGCAGTTCAACGCATGATAATATTACATAGTAATTACTGTATTTATGAATTTAGCACCAAAACATCGCAATGTATTGAAACAGCTGTGGATTGGGTTGGAGGCAGACTGCATTGGATAATACAGAACATTGGATGAGTGAAGGTTGGATAAGCGAGACTCTACTGTACTTTAAAATGTATTTTCCCTTAACTGTGACTAGGATGACATCTTTAGAAGATCCCATTCCCCAGAAAGGTTAGGAAACATACACATTATTAACAATAATTTTAACACAAGCTGCTTTCCACACGTAGGGACCTTTGTAGGCAATATTTTTTTTGAGCAAGTCAATACTTGTTGCAAGTGGGCATTTCATGCTTTCTCCTTCAACAGTGTGATTCCTTAGTGACCTTTTTGTTAATCAAAAAGTCCAGGTTTCTAAGGAAGAGTGTTTGAAAAGGCCAAAATATGTGTTGTTACTTAAACAAGCTTTATAATCTGCAGGTATACTGTTGCCAGTCTAATAGCTTCCTTACTGGAATGTCTTTCAAGGTAATTGTGCTTGCGTATAGTGCTCGGGGTAGTAGATTGAAGTGCTAAATGAGGGCATTGCTTCTCCAAATAAACATTCTGCTCCCCACAACCCCCATGACATTTTCCATCATAGCCCTCAAATTTCTAGTAGAAAACAAGATGTCAAAAAGTGTTTACACTTAGAACTCTTTCATTTACTTTGATATTCCCTTGGCAATTTTGCCTTGGTAGTGCAAAAGCTGTCAATCTCCAGACTACTCTATGGCAGCAAGATACTGATACATGTATGAGTGAGCATACCAGACCCATATTAAAATAACTTCATTGATTGTCAATTCCTGACAAAGTCCAAAGTGTTGGCTATTAACTTTAAGTCCTACATAGTTGGATTTGGATTATTACTGGGATTGTCACCATGTACACTTGGATCTTTTGGGGGACATTTACTCCAATTGGAGCCCCCAGTGGTGCAGTGGATTAAAGTGCTGAGCTGCTGAACTTGCTGACTGAAAGGTCGCAGGTTTACATCCGCAGAGCGGTGTGAGCTCCCGCTGTTAGCCCCAGCTTCTGTCAACCTAGCAGTTCAAAAACATGTGAATGTGAGTAGATCAATGGGTACAGCTCTGGTGGGAAGGTAATGGTGCTCCATGCAGTCATGCCGGCCACATGACCTTAGAGGCATCTACAGACAATGCCAGCTTAGAGTGGTTTAGAAATTGAGATGAGCACCAATCCCCAGAGTCGGGCACAACTGGATTTAATGTCAGGGGAAAACCTTTACCTTTACCTTACCCCTGTTAGTCAGGATTAGGCTGACAACTGTCACCCAGAGGACATTCTGTTCAGTCAATCCTAGGGCCTTTCCACACAGTCATATAATCCAGAATATCTAGGCAGAAAATCCCACAATATCTGCTTTGAACTGGAATATATTACAGTGTGGACTCAGATAACCTAGTTCTAAGCAAATAATGTGGGATTTTATTCAGCTGTGTGGAAGGGGCCCAAGACTGAGGAATGAACTGTTGGAAAAGATATTCTATTTGAACTTAAAACATCAGTTGAGACCAGTTTTTTCCAGTAAGCCTATCAAGATGTTCTTTAAATTAGTTGGTGATGTGGAGAAAAGAAGAGTATTTGGTCTCCTTTCTTACTCTTCCAGTGATTTGTTCAAAAGTACAAGAGTATGGCAGCTTCACACTATCAGCATAGCTTGCTTGAAGTAGAACAGCAATTGGGGTTCTCCCTGTCAGACTGTTGAGTATCCATTATCTGTCAAATTATTTATAATTTTTCTGTCCTTTCAATTATACCCAAACCCTATTGTCTAAAACATTTGCCTTCCTTTCCCCAGTGGTAAGGCCAGTCCTGGTACCCATTGTCTGTTTGGTTAGCAACAAAATATCCAAGGAAAACTGACACTAAGGACTGTAAGACACACTTATCTCTTTGTGTACAGGGTGACCTTATGTATAAGTGCAGGGCAGGTTTTGAGAACAGAATTATAATCTTTATATGACTTTTGTATAAATTGAGGATAATTACACACAGAGAGAAAAATGCCAGTGCCACCTCAGGAGGTCAGCTGCCCCTGGCTGCTATCATTTTCCTGTCCAGACATTTAAAAAGGCATATTACCAATCTACTCAGAAGGGGATGCTTCCTTTTTTCTAAAATAAATTAAAGTACAATGCTAAGTCTTTTGAAAAAAAATCCCTTTCTCTAAATAGAGTGGTGAAAGGCAAGAGCTTAGTCTGGACTAGGAAAACCCCAAAGTAATATCAAACCCTTCTATTCTCTCAGCATTTCTTTGAAAGGTAACACCAAACAGTCACAATCACAATTTCCCAGCATTCAAAAATGCAAAAAGCAGTTCTGCAGCAGAGATCAGAGGGAGTCAATGCTCCTTTTAGTTCTCCAGGATGGACTATGATTTTACCTTGGTCCGCTCTTCTTGGATAAGAGGATGGTTACTTTTTAATAAGAAGTATAGTGCATGCAGTGGCCTATGGATAAGTCTCCCGGGTTTGACTTCAATATCTATATACTCCAGTAAGTGAAGGATGTTCAGCTATGGTAGTAGCAGTGGTAATTACAAATAACCTTGTGGCTTTAGAGTACAGAATAGTGGCCCTACAGCCCTAATCCCATTTGAAGAGCCTCTAAGGCTCTTTCTACACTGCCATCTAATTCAGTATCTGATCCCAGATTGTCTGCTTTGGAGTGGAAGTGTAGTCTCACATAAACCAGTTCAAAACAGATAACCTGGGATCAGATACTGGATTACGTGGCAGTGTAGATACAGCAATAGGCCCCTTCTACACTGCCCTATATCCCAGGATCTGATCCCAAATTATCTTCTTATCTCAGTTTATATGGCAATGGAGACTTATATAATCCAGTTCAAAGTAGATAATCTGGGATCAGATACTGGATTATATGGCAGTGTAGATATAGCATTAGGCCCTTTCTACACTGCCCTATAACCCAGGGTCTGATCTCAGATTATCTTCTTATCCCAGATTATATGGCAATGGAAACTCACATAATTCAGTTCAAAGCATATAATCTGGGATGAGATCCTGGAATATAGGAGAGTGTAGATCCAGTTTAAGATCCATGTGTTTCTAGAACCATATTCCTCATCAGCTCATTTTAACCTAGATTCCTCAGATGATAGGCATATCCCTGCCAAACATCTCTTACTGAAGCAATAAACCTCACCCCATCTCTCTTTCTCAGAAAAGTGATTCCATACTGATACATATCTATCCATTGGCATGCAGGCTTGAAGTTTGAAGAACTGCAAGACAAATTTGGGGCAGAATTCTTCAATATCTGCTTTGATGAGAATGAGCGGGTTCTCCGAGCAGTGGGTGGCACTTTGCAAGATTTCTTCAATGGCTTTGATGCTTTGTTGGAGCACATCAGGACTTCAGTTGGAAGGCAGGCCACTTTGGAATCATCTTCTTTCCTATGCAAAGAGCTCCCTGGAGGCGGCCTTCTGCTCCACTACTTCCACCCTCATCAGATTGTGAGTTTTGCCATCGTGGGTATGGTTAAGGAAGCAGCAAGAAAGATCTACCAGCTAGAAGTGGAAGTGGAACAAATTGCGACAGATAAACTGGGGCCGGAGGACTCCAACCCAGGCAACTGCAGCTGCCTCACTTTTATTATCAAAGAGCACGAGAATGCAAATATCACAAAACCACTTCCACTTGGCATGTCCCAGTCCCCCTCGGACCTTCGGATAAGCATCAACACCTTCTGCCGAGCTTTCCCTTTCCACTTGATGTTTGATCCCAGCATGCTGGTACTGCAACTAGGGGAAGGACTAAGGAAGCAGCTCAAATGTGATGCTCACAAGAACCTGAAGTTTCAAGACTGCTTTGAGATAGTTTCTCCAAAGATTGGGGCCACATTTGAACGAGTTCTTCTGAGGCTGTCGACACCTTTTGTGATCCGAACCAAGCTAGAAGCATCTGGCTCTGAAAACAAAGATAAGGTAAGGTGTTAGCTTTCTCTCACAAAAAGGGCTACACTTCTAGATTGAGCAGGCTGCCAGCAAATGTAAGAATAACAGAAAAAAGAAGGGTGTATGGGTGGGTAGATTAAAAACCTAACTAGACAAAATGTCAGGCAATCCACCATTGGAGTGGGTATCCTACATAAAATCAATCGTTCAGTCTGGAGCGGCTGCCTTACCAGGAGAGAAGACAACTAAAAAATTTCCTTGTACAATTTTCTTGACCCAACTCCCCCTTCCCATGCTTGCTATTTCCCCTCTGGACAAAGAGATGTATAAGACCAAGCTAATGGCATGTTTTGACTGGCAGATACATAGCAGGTTAAGTAAGACAATGTGGACTGAAATCTCCCTCCCAGGTTGCTTCTGCCTCTCCAGTGGCTGGTTTAACATTAAAAAAAACAAAGGTAAGCAACCAACCATGTGAATTCTTCATTTTTGCTCAAAACCTTGTCTGTTACATTTCTGATTCAGTCGCAATGGACTTGAAACATTCGAATATCTTTTCAGTGTCAGAACTTGTGCAGCATCCTTAAGAGGTGCTTTATACCTTTGAGGGCAAACATGAGACTTCAAGGATAGGGCTGTATCTAATAGCACATCGAGATAACAAACGCCATCTTTTAGTGGAAGAAAAACTTATCAGAGAAAACTCAAGCCAATCTGGTCACTAGTAGCTTTATTTTTTCGACTTTATACTTTAGTTTACTTGCCCCTATCCAGTCCATTCCTTATTCCATGCATTGCTACAATTTGCCAAAACCTGCACTTGAAAGACCACGAGAGAATGAATTAACTTCAACATTGTAATAACATTATAAACCAAAATTCTAGATAATCTCATTCACATATTAACAGTTAATTACATAGAGATACAGATACACCATAAAAGGTGTATTTCAGAAGAAATGAAATTTTGTGTTATATGCTGTGACCCCTATACCTGTGGGGACATGTTCCAAGACCCCCTATGGAAACTTGAAAATATGAATATGAATATCCTGTATTTTGACTATACTTCCATGCCATTTGGATTGTGTATAGCTGTATTGGTGGTTTTGTTGTTGTTTGTCCTTCTATATCTTATCTGTAAGACCACCCTATTAAGAAAAGAAATGTCCTGAAATGCAATAAGTGAAGCAGTGGTGCTAGCTGTCGTTATTTAGCAGCAGGTGGGAATACCACACTGTGAGGCATTAGAAGTTTGAAATCCAGGTAGGAATTGAACTAGTGAAGCACATTGTCCTTTGATTCTTATATTATCTGGTTGCTCCTTACTTACTTTACTTAGGCAATCCCATGTTGTCTGAGTAAGATTGTCCTCCAAGTGTGGTGTCCTGGCGGTGGGTACGTAGGTGACATTTGTCCACCTGTCTTCCCAAGAGATTTGCAGGATTTTTCGGAGGCAACACTGATGGAATAGTTCCAGGAGTTGTATGTGATGTCTGTAGATAGTCCACATTTTGCAGGCATATAGCAGTGTTGGGAGGACAATAGCTTCTGCTTCATTCGGAAAAATGCTGCACTCGCAGAGCTCAGGCGGTGTTGTATTTCAGTGGCAATGTTGACTTTTGTGGAGAAGTGGCTGCCAAGGTAGCGGAAATGGTTAACATTTTCTAATGTTACACTATTAAAGTTTTATTTCTGGCATTGCAGATGGGTTGGTTGGTGACTGCTGGAAGAACACTTTGGTTTTCTCGATGTTCAGTGAGAGGCTGAGCTTCCCGTATGCTTCTTCAAAGGTGTTTGGAGTGGCTTGTAGATCTTCTTTTGAATGTGCACAGATGACTTTTTCATCAGCATATTGGAGTTCTATAACAGAAGTTATTGTAACCTTGGTTTTAGCTTTCAGTCTGCTGAGGTTAAATAGCTTGCCATTTATCCGATAGATTATTTCCACTCCGGTGGGAAGCTCCAACCATTTCCAGAATCAATCATATTTTTAAAGTGGCAGAGAATCCCAGGTGAAAAAAAATAGATATAGCACCATTCTCCTCCTTCCAGGAAAGACCAATTAGGGCAACAAAATCTCTCCCCCCCCCTCAAAACTGGGCTGAACACTAGAAGTGGCTCTAATCAGCACTATTCAGAAGAAAGATGGCATATAAAACAAACTCAAATCCAAAGTTTTCTGGAATTTTTCAGCATTTACCTTGCTCTGAAATAATATATTTGCAATGCCTGATAATGGAATTATTCCTGGATTCCATAACGAGTTGCTCTAGTAGCAAAAAAGAAAAGTCTGGAAGGGAATTGCTGGTAAGGGAAGGAGAGAGAGCCATTGTTTAGTAACAATGAGAAGAGACTAGGCTTGAAATTGCTTGTTCAACAGGAACCAACCTCAAACACATTGTGTTCTGTAAATATTTGCTCTTGTGTGCTTGGGGCTCTCTTTCATTTTAGTTTCCTCCTTAATAAACAGTCTTACAACTGTTAATGGTCAGGAACACTTTCCTCTGAGTTCTGGCTAATCCACCAGATGTGACTTTATCTGTGGAAATCATTTTAGTGTGGCTTCTAGTATTGGGTGTCTCTTCCATCAATTATCGAAGGATTTTCTTAATTATTTTTCTTACTGATTTTCTTATTAGTTCTCTGTGATTTTTAATGAGTGGTTTTATGGATTTTACTGCCTTTGTTGTTATAGCATTTAATCCTTTTAGTCACTGATTAACTCAATATTTGTGCATGTTATAACAATGTGAATGACTTTGGGATTTTTTAAATGAAAAACAGTATGGAAATTTTGGTGATATTGACACTAGGCTTACTAGTACAGCTGTCTTATTTCTTAATACAGCTGTGATATATTAAGACTAGACTGGATTACTGCAGCCATCTCTCTGTATAAGACAATTCAGAACTTTCTCTTGGGTCAATTAGGATGATGGTAGAAACAATTGGATCATACAACTTCCAATATACTCAAACTGAGATAGTTACTAATTTATATCCAATCACAGTTTAAGGTGCGAGTTCTGATCTTTACATTCTGTATAATCAAAGGAGCCGTTTCTCTCAAAATGTCCCCATCCACATGGACCTGGCTTGGCTTTAAGATCATTTGGCCAGGTCCTGCTGTTTTGTCTCCCGCTGATTCATAATATTTGGGATCCTTTCTACAGTGGCATCCAGACAATGTGTCTGTTTCACTGGGGAAATATGGAAAACCTAATCTTTCTGAATATTTAAGGATTTTAAAAAAATGTTCTTTAAGATTAGATTTAGTCAGCATATGCTGGCATGACATTTTTAGGAAGATTGCTGTTTTTCATAACTCAGGCATATGGGCCTAAATCCAATTGCTAGTCACATCCAGTGTTCAGTAACTGAAATAATTGGGTTTTACACAAGTTCTAATTTGCTGATCATCAGTTAACTTTATGTGTCTGCTGTAAGTGGGACTTGCAACATGATGGTGTATTTAGATGTTATTATTTGATGTTATTTTTAAATCCTTTTGAAAAATTATCCTAAATGACATGGTATAAATGCAAACATCAAATGCCTCCTACATCCAAATAAGAGATACAACATGGTATTATTGTTTGATTTTGGTCTAGAACGCTGGGAAATTAACATTTCAATCCCTGCTCAGCCATAGAAACTCACCAGGGCAAGTCATCTTATAACAGCCTTAAAGGAAGGCAGTGCCAAACCTCTGCTGATAGGATTTCCATAAGCAGAAGTCAACAACTACATCAAACAGTCAAATTTCACTTTCTGCCATGTTATGAATGAAGGAATGTTAAAGACTAATATGATAAGTAGCTTTCATATTGTCATTTTGTTTTTTGCAGCACATCAATTTTTGATTGTATTATTGCTTGCATCTTCTTTTCATCTTTGTTGCTTTTTAAAAGATGAAAAGAACAAGAACTGGGGGAGAAAGGGAGTGGGCGGTTGCATTAGTAGTCATATTTAGAGAATATTAGAATATGGAGTTGTAGTCCAAAAAAATAACTTCATTCCCCAGTGTAGAATGTTGAAATCATTAGGATTTAAGTTAGTCAGGCTTAAATTATTTACCATTGTTTTTTGTGACTACTTTAAGCAGGACTAAGAACCACCTCATGCATGCCACCGGAATTGCCGAGGATACCCACACATTGCAGCGCTTACCAGTAGATTTCAATGGAAAGACAGGATGCCTCTTGTCTTTTGCTGCTAGCTATTTTTTGGCAGTGGCAGAGGGTTTGGGGGTGTGTGCCCCAGAACTGTCCCAAAATTACTTCTCCAGGGTGTGATGGGAGCTGGCAGGTTCTGTGGCAAAACTGCTAAATCAAACCTGCTGCTTAAAAATAGCTGATGTGAAGAGGTCCTAAGCTAGGATCCAATCTGATAGCTAAAATAATATTTTTAATTTGTACTTATTCTATTCTCTTAAACCAAAGAAAGTTGCAAATTGCACTTTTTCCATTCCACCATAGATTTGGGCAACCTGTTCTCTGTGGTCATCTTGCATTTAGTTTTCTGGATGCCAGATTTGGTCTTTGGAATTCTTGCTTTTTGATGTTTTTGGACCATTTTTGGAGAGCAACACAAGGACTTCCCTCTCCACTATAGTTTTGCTGAAAGGCTTTCTTGTATTTTTCTTCTATCTTGAGTTCCTATTCTTTCTCTCTTTTCTGTTTTTATTTGTATTGTAAAACCAATAGGCCCTTGTCAGGTAATTTAAAATCCATTACCCATAGCTTGGAATTGGACTATGGATGTTCCCATTTCATTCTCCTTAAAATTCAGTTGCAGTGGCCTGAAAGTCATTTTACCATCAGGGGCATCTGCCAGATACTATCTCAAAAAGCTCTAATTCTTCACTCATAGTCACGGTGTATTGCATGGTCAGATAGTCGAGTTGACACTCTTGTGTCTGCAGCTTCAAAAAGAAAAAAAGTCCCAGAATAAAATTTGGCTTCTTGTGTTGATTTCTCCCCTGCCTATATTTCTCTTGTTTCCCTGTCAAATTGGGTTTAGGCTCT